GAATTGTTTCATTATGACACCACCAGTTCAGGCAACACTGGTCTTTCTTACAAGACTTCCTCAGGACTGCACAGAACATTAGCAGTACAGACCCGTGGTGTAGTGGCTTCACACCTGACCTCACTGACAAGGTTAGTATTCATCAAAGCAGGATGATGTAAGCCTAGAGGTACACATTCCTGGGTTGTTGACCTAAGTGTGCCAGTGTGCTTGAGGGCTAATTAGAAGTGTCTTCTTTAAGTGGAGTTTTATCTTGGGACTATCAGGTTTGCACAAGAGAAAGATCATTAGTCAGAGTTACAAGATGTTGATCAGCAGTCCTTGTTATCAAAGCCATCGCAGTGCAAAGTGGTCTGTAGGCGTTAAACCCCATCTCTGTGCTAAAATTGGTGTCATACATACTGAAGGAAAGAGGTCTTGTCACAATAATGAAAAATACTTTGGTTGGATATAAAGAGAAATGTGTCTGGTGGACAGTTAAAGGAGTGCTACTTGAATCAGCCTTACACATTCCTCGTTCACACTGATTGTGTGCTGTAGTTCTGTATCCACTTAAGAGATGGATAATTCTTTTCCTGTTGGAAGTCTGCAGAAAACAATTTCTTGCTTGCTGTGTCATATTTATGTCATCCATGTTGGCTGTACTGGGTATGTTTGCTGTCTCAGGGCTATAATTCCAAGTAAATATCCCCATGTTAAAAGGTTGATCCTTAAGTTTACTTTACAATAGTTGTCAAATGTAGCTACCTTGCAGTACATGCTGTATAAAGCAGGTTTCTTCAAACGTTTTAGGGCTATATTAGGAAGCTGGACATAATTAGTTTGAGAATGCCTTCTTTTACAAGTTGGTCTGTGTGTATCAGGCACAGCTCAGTGATGAATTTCTAGCTGCATAGTTCACACACACCGTATCATTATTTATCCTGCATGAACATTGAAACAACATCTCATGCTTTTCTCATTGTATAGTCTGGTTATTTTTTCATTGTCTTTTATCAGGATTTTTATCAATGTTTCCCCACAGCTTCCAGATTGTTCACAATGCAGATGCAGCAGTTCTGTTCACTGGGCTGGGAACAGCAATCACATTACCCATGCTCTGCATTCTTTACATTAGTTGTTCATAGGAAGACAGATTTAATTACGAAGAGTACTAACTGGGGATGGATGGACACTTGGTTGCTTGTTTTAAAAGCAATGATTGACATAATAAGAAGGTCTAAGCTCCATCTGCTTCTTTCTGATGCTTTTGCTAGTGACCTTTTATGTTTTGATGCAGCCTATTGCTTATGAAGGTCAGTTTGTTATAGCAGTTTACACTGATGTAGCTGTTGTGGTTGGCACTTAAAGTCTGTATCAGGTGGGTTTGAGTGGGATTTTGATCCTCAGAGTTTTTCATTACTCTTTTTGTGACTGTATTTTTATTTCCCGTAAATATGTAAAACATTTAGAAGCCCTGAAATGCTTCTGACTATAACACCTTACGAACTGAACTCCTCTGGTTAACATTTTGTCAGTGCTAGTGCTACAGATCCTTCAGTGCTAGTGCTACAGATCCTTCCAATTCTGTGTTCCCCACTATCTTCTCAAGAATTATACTAAAATACTTAAATAATAAAACAATACTTAAAGTAATTGTTTTAGTGTTGCAGAAAAGGTTTAAAGCATCTTTTTTTTTGTTATTTGACTGGTCCTGTATGTTCTATTAATAATTATTATTTACAAGGGATATTCTGAATGCTTTAGATTACATAGGGATGACTGCTATGCAGTTTGTGTTCTCTGCACAACAGGCATAAAAATTCTGTAGGTAGGAACTCCCAGCCATTATTTTTCATCTAAATGAATATTTTATAGCTTTTATAAAAGCTATAGCACAGAATTATTTGTGACATGATTTTTCCTTTAAAAAAATAAAACCACCCTACTTGTACATAATTTGTAAAATGTTTTATTTAGATATTTAATGGGTATAATGGTCCAACTGAGAGATCATAAGATTTAGCCTGTAGCTGTTAGGCACTTAACGTTGATATGGCTTATGTTCAGGAGGCCCATTTGGATAAAGCATCTTATTGCTTATACGAATATATGTTGAGGATACATGTTTCATTTAGGAAAAGGTACAGCAAAGAGTAAACCTTTGTTTATGAAGCCAGTAACAATTATGAAAAGCACAGCATAAAGTATTTTTGTTCCAGCATCTACTTCAGCTCTGGCACATGTAAGGTCCATAGCTTCACTAAAATTAAGGTGCTTTTTCCTTCTAGCATTTACAACCACTGGTAGGCTTCAAATATTATATGGAAATCTTTCATAAGACCCTTTTGTGATTAATTGCGGTAGAGAGGACAAAGTTTTTCTGGAGTAATAGAAATGAGGGAGAGAGTGCTGCATTTTCCTAGTGAGTACTATTTTTAGGTTGTTTTTCTGTTCTGTATTTTGTATTGCTTCTTAACTGAACTTGGAGAGCTAAAACAGATCAAAGTTGTGCACTGGTTCAGCTAAGAAATGAAAACAGATCAAGAAGTGAGGCAGCAGAAGGAGTAGCAATTTGTAGCATCTGTGATAGGGGATAATTGGTAGGAGAACTTTTATGTGCTGCAGAATCATGCTGGAGAATGTGGTCATTAAACTATAAAGATGATAAACATAGATGGACAGGAGCAGAAGCTAGAGATTACAGTAGGCTTCTTTAAATTTTTAATCTAGCTTTTTAAAAGCTGGTCATATTAAACAACTTGGATAGGGAGATCTGTATAATGTCTGTTTTGTAACTGCTCATCACATCTTTCAAAGACCTCAGTGTCCAAATACACCTTCATAGCTAATAATGGTTGGTATGAAGAGTGGTTTAGTGCTGGTAACGGGGAGTCAGCTGTGGAATTCCACTAACATAAGTATGACATCTCTGATAGTGAAACATGACCATGGACAATAGAGCAGGACATAAACAGAATTGGTAGGTAGAGGTCTTTTACTTGATCAGTAGGAGAAAGACAAACTTTTGGACACATGAGGCTCAAATAAAACCATGGATTCAGTAGCTTTACTGGGTTTATGGCATATCGTAATGTACCTCCTCATTAACCTATCTGTTCCATAGGAAATAAGTTTCTTGTTTCTCTGCCCTAACGTTGTCTCCTCTCTTTTAATAACTTCTCTTTTACTTCAAGGCTGTCAGCTATCTTGTCTTTCAGAGAAGATCTAACTGATACACACCTAGCATTTCCAGGGCTGTATAACATTTGTGACAGATCTCCATATCAGTTTCTGGTTTAAGTGCATTTATCACCCTTTTCTCATTTCCTTAGTCATATTCATTGATACTTCGACATTTGGCTATACTCTGCTGAACTTAGTAGGGCAGAAACTTGTATTTGTTGCCTTCAAGCATGCAGTCTTCTGAAACCAGGAGTAATTAGTACAACTTCTACAGCTTTGCTTTCTCCAGCAACAAGGTTATTGACCATCACAGCTTCTCTAAAGCTAAGTGCTGTTTATTCAGTTATACCATTTATAGGAGCAAGCCTGCTGTAAAACAATGAACTGTTACCCATCCAACCAGGCAGCTTGCAGGATTTGTATCTACCATCTGGTGCCACCTCCTGGCACCACTTGGTGACCTTAGTTCAGTTCTCAAGTAGTCTATGAATAAACCTGGACGAGCAAACACACATGCTTGTGTGAAGGCCACCACTGGGGCTTTTCCTAGCCCTTCTTTGTTGCCGGACCTTTAAGTATCAGATAAAACCAGTAAAATTATGCCCCCCATCTGCTTGGGATGAATCTTTCAAGTCATGCACATTTCCAATGCTGTTTTTCCTCTATCTGTTTTTCTCAAGTTTCTCTTGGGACTTCACTGCTGGACATTCAGTGCTTCATGTGGCTGAGTTTGCTATGAATACATTCAGTGACAAGCACTTAATGATAAATGTGTTCTTTATAGCATTAAAAACAGAAGTGTTTGAATATTTTGTATCTTCTCAGCATCTGTTATGTTGCAGTTTTTGAATGACCCAGAATGTTAGAACATTGCAACAGGAATATTTTCATTCTTGTTTTCAGTGTTGCCCCAGTTGTAATTATAGAGGCATAAATCTCTCTCTACCTTTTGCCCTCACAGTGCCTGCTGAAAGCATCTATTTATATTTCTCAGAGTTCTTTTTCAACAAAGACAGAGAACATACAGCAGATAATAGTTTCTGTAGGCTGTAAGTCTGCTCCCTGACTTCCTTTATTATGGAATGGAAGAGAGTAGCCAGGCCAAACAATAATGCAATTTAGCTGAATTGAATGAGCCTGAGACTCACTTGGTTGATGGGTTTGCAGTGGAGTAAAAAACAATTTCTCTGCATCTATATAGTCAGAATGCAAGAAAAACTCTAAAGGAAAGGGAAGTGTTGAGAGAAAGAAAAGCATGAGGTAGTCCTTGGAAAAGGAGAGGGTTTACAGAAACTGAGAAGAGGCTGGAGAAAACATAGCATAAATGAAAATAAGTGAAACTGAAACAGACAAAAGGCTGAAAAGAATTTCAGCTGTAAAAGTTTTAAGAATTTGAAAATGAAGAGACCTCTAAGAATAAAAATAAAGTTTCTTTGGGGTTCTTGGCGATGAAATGACAATGATGCAGTGCAGAGGGGAGAGACAAAATCAGGGACTTTGGCTGGAACATTAAGTGAGATCAATTTTAAAAAGGCTTCTGTGCTGAGGCTAATACAGAAGCTAAAGAATTGTATGGGAGAGAAGTTTGAAGACAGGCTGAGAAGCTTTGTTAGATAGGGACATTTGGCAGTATCTCTTGAAACCATTGCCCAGAAAGACTTACGGAAAGTAAGAGGGGCGCTAGCCAAGCTTCTTTATAGCAAGACCTCCCTAGGAAATTAGTGACTGAGACACAATCATGAGTTTCACTGGGCATACAGGTATTAATGCTGCAGGATACATTACATCCCACTTGGCTTCAATTACAGCTTTTCTGCTCCATCTTTCCTTGACAGATCTGGAGCACCATTCTTATGGAGACAGGCTGAAAGAGCTGGAGTTCGTCAGCCTGGAGAAGAAAAGGCTCCAGGGAGACCTTAGAGCAGCTTCCAGTGCCTAAAGGGGATGACAAGAAATCTGGAGAGGGACTTTGTACAAGAGTATGTAAGGATAGAACTAGGGGAATGGCTTTAGGCTGAAAAAGGGTAGATTTAGATTAGACATAAGGAAGAAGTTCTTCACTGCAAGGTTGGTGAGACATTGGAGCAGGTTGCCCAGAGATGCTATGGTTGCCCCATCACTGTCAGTGTTCCAGGCCAACTTGTTCTTTAAATTTGGTTCTATGCTTTTTATGCCAAATAAGACAGATGCAGTGTTGCAGTGCTGTGCAGCAGTTGCCTTGAGGAGTATGCTGTGCCATAGGCTGCAGGTAACAGAGTGCCTGAGCAAGCCTGACCATCTGTGAGGACTACTGTGGCATCTCGGTGATGAAGGAGAGCCAGAGGACATGGCTGAAGCAGCACAGCGAGTCAGTTGCGATTTGGGAGCAATTACAGGAATTGGAGAGTTCTGGACGGGCTGTGCAGTTTCTTGGCCTCTTGGTAACAACTCTTCTGGCTTTTTGCAGGTGTTGAAGCATAGTCTGGTGGTTGAGGGAGCATCACAGATTGAAGCTTGGGGGATCTGTGGCCAGACACAAAGGATAAGCTCTGACTCACAGCATCGGCACAGCTAAGTCCTTGGACTGCATTGTAGATGAGGGAGGTTGGGTGAGCGGAAGGTGGTTGTGCCCTCCCTGGGGATGAGCCATACTGTGTGGCAGTCTGGGTACTGCTGGGTGGAGGGAGCTGGAAATCTTATCTGGGAGGGTGAAGTTTGGGCATTTAGTGAGTGATGTACAGGCCCAGCAATGGGAATTTGCTTGATGGGCCAAGTGGTTGTGTACCTTGGACTACAAATGTTCATTGTGTGAGTAACAGGCTAAAACCCCAGTCTGTTTTACATATTAAAAAGTATTTTCCCAGCTGCAGTGTTTTACTCGTTCTGCTGACTCTGTGAGGCATTCTTCTGGTCAGCCTTTGGAGTGGGATTTACTGGACAATGGAAGAGACTTTTGGGGTGGTGTTAATGACTGCAAGAAAGGTGTTACCTGTTGTCACAAACACTTCTCTCTCAGCAGGTACCACTTCCTTTAAGGAGGGGCTGTTTGGTGGTTACAGGTGGCAGCCTTTGGATATTTGATCACAGAGCTGAGAGAACCACAAATATTAAGTTAATTGTAATGGAGATTTAGGGCTTGCCATGTTGCAGGTAGCTTCAGTGGAAGTACAGCTTAGTATAGTGGAACATTCTATGGATTGATTCTTACAAATGGTCACTTATGAATGGTGGCTAAAACCAAGCCTATAAGCAGCAATTGCAAAGTGTTTCTGGTGTGTCTGTATTCCCATTCTGCTGCCCTTCCAAATGAAGGGGAAACATGTAAAGCTACAGGAAAAAAAAATCTCATCTCCTTTTTACTTTTCTATTTACTCTTTTCCTGCTCAGCTACTCTTTGACATTACTTGCTTAAAACTGAGTGGTCAGTTTTTCACTTATGGTTTATTGTTTAGAGTTTGTGGGTGTCAGTGATTTCTCACTCAGAGGTTATAGTTTATTACTTTATTCTGTGGAGCTCTTTATTTACCAGGGTTTACTGTTTACACATTTATTGACAAGGGCATTGGGTGTAAAAATCAAACCTAATGACTGCTTGGATTCTGAGATTTTTGGTTTATCACTGTAGGGTTTACTGTGTGAAATGGAAAAGTCTGAGTTCCTAGATAATGTGTAAGCCCTGAATCATAAACAGTAGGTTGTGAACCCTTCTCTGGGGTTTGTAACCATTATGCGGCAGGGCTAATGTTCACTGTGATGTAAAAAAGGCACTCAAGACTCTGTAAATTATTGATCTAATTTCCACTTATTGAACACTACCAGGCAAAAAGCATGGTATAATCATACATTCTTTCAGATGTTGGGAACAACAGTATCCAGAATCTGGGAGTCCTCCAACTGAGGCATGGCCCACAGTGCATCTCCTGTCTTTGAGAATGATCTTTTCACATCTTGGTCTTTAGAGCTTTTACAGGATTTTCCTGGAAGAAAATAATGCTATCCACCCTTTTACTATCTAACAATGGAATGTTCACTTGAGAACCTTCTGCTTCAGTGTAAGATAAAGACAATTACATATAATCACCAGTGGCAAGCAGGAACTGCCTTCAGGCTCCTTTGTCCCAATTAGTCAGCTAAATTTGTCCTGTGACCAAGGTGCAATATGCAGCATAACACATGCCTGAAGGCTAAGCTATATACATGCAGCATAGCACAGCTGGAGTGCCTGCCTTCTCAAGTTGACTCTTAAGCCAATTACTAATGCCCCAACTGTACATTAGTCTTCTGGTTAGGATCACAACAGTGACCTTTCCCTGTGCCACCCAGTGTTCCCCTCTGTGCTCTGAGAACTTGGGTCTTGGTTTGACACTGCACACATGCCATGCTGCCTCTGCTGAGATGGTGGATGAGTTGAGAGCAGCCAAAAGTTGCTTGCAGGTCTCTAGCCGAGGTGTAAGGCATAAGCAGACAGGTGAGATCAGGGTTTTGCCTCGAATAACAGAACTGCATCCTATTCTTGAAGGAAAAAGCAGACTGACAGTTACACCTCTTGTTGAACTTCAGGAGGTTAATATCAGCCTGTTTTTCTAGCCTCTGGTCTCTCTGTGTAGCACCGTGATATTGTGGCTTAGGAGCCACTCCTCACAGTTTTGTATCATCTGCAGGCTTGATGGTACTCTGCCTCATCACTACGGCTTTTTGGTGTGCTTCAGGGTCATGTTTTAATTTCCGTGTGCTCTCCCTTTGTCCTGTGCTCTCGGAGCCCGTTTGCCCTTGTCAGGGCGCTAGGCAGCGCTCGCTGCTGCGCCCGGTGACCAAATGGTGGTCCTGCAGGTGGAACGTCCAGCACCGTATATATGCGGCCTGTTGCTTCCCCCACTCCTGCTTCTCAGTCTCTTCTTCTCTCTCATCAAAAAGATTTCATTTCTTTTGACATCTTTCCCTGTCCAGCTCCACACCAGGATATTTGAATTCCTCCCTGTCTATCTTGTAGCCCATCACTGTTTTGTCCTTCTCTGTGTCTGTCTGGCTCCCTGTCCCCATTTTTTAATTCTTCCCTCTCTGCCCTGCAACCCATCACTATTTTAATATTCTCTGTCCTGCTCCCTGTCACGAGTCTTTAGTTCCTCCCTCTGTGCCCTGCAGCCTGTTGCAGTTTTTTCTTTATCTGTTGCTTACTGTCCAGCTCCCTGTCCCTACATTTTAATTCTGCCCTTTCTGCCATATGGCCTGTCACTATCTTCCCTTTCTCTGTCTCTCTATGGCTGTATGGCTCCTTGTCCCTTCCTTTATGAAATTCCTCCTTTTCTGACTTGGAGATCTGTGGTTTTACCTTTCTTTGCCTCTCTCTGGCCATCTCTCTCCTGTGTTTTAATTCCACATACTGTTCCATAGCCCCATGTATTTGTTTGTCTGTCTGTTTCCATGTCTCTTTGTCCAGTTCCTTGCTAGTATTTTTTATTTCCTCCCTATACATCTTGTAGACCATTACTGTTTAGTTTTCACCCCAACTTTCTTTTTTCTTTCTCCGTATCTCTCTGTCTGGCTCCCGGCCCCTGTTCTTTAATTCCTCCCTTTTCCCTGTGGCCCACTGCTATTTTTTTCTATTATCTCCATCATGCTCTCTCTGGTCCTTGTCCTTACTTATCAATTCCTTCCTCTTAGACCTGGGGCCCAGCACTTTTTCCCATTTTATTTCTACTGGCTCTTCTGGCTCCCTGTCCCTGGATTTTTAATTTCTCCCTCTGCCACATATCCTGTGTGATCTTTTGCATTTATCCATCTCTCTCAGGCCAGCACTCTGTCCCTATCCATCAACTCTTCCCTCTCTACCTTGCAGCCTGTTGCCTTTGTCCTTTCTCCATCTCACTATCTCTGCCTTCCTGATGACCCTATTTTAGAATTCCCCCCTTTCTGCTTCTTTCTGTACACAGTGCTATTCTAGTTGCTCTCCAGTGATCTTCCTTTTCCTGGCTCCCTGTCCCTATTTCTTAATTATTCCCTCTCTGCCCTGTAGTGTGTACCTATATGTTTTGGTTTTTGTTGTTCCCCCTGCCCTGCCCCTTTCCTCCATCGTTGGCTGTTCCAGCTCCCTGTCCTTGTTTTATCCTTCCTCTCTGCCCTGTTGTTGCTTTTTTGTCTTTCTCTCTCCCCTCAGCCCTCTGCTCCTATTCTTCTCCCCCACCCCCACCCCATCATGCTGCCTGTCCCAGGATTTTTCTACATCTTCATCCTGCTCCATGTCCTGATTTTTCTTTCTCTGTCCTGCTACTACTCCCTCTCTCTGCTGCTTCGTTCTCCACCTCTGCTTGGCTTCCTGTCCTCAGCTTTCTCTTGCTGTTCCATTCCCTGCCTCATGCTTTCTTACTACACACCCGTTGCTCAGCAGCTGCCACTTTTCTCCTTTCTTCTAGTGCCCTGCAGCCTGCTCCTCATTTTTTGCCGTCTCCAGCTCTGCCCACCAACCCATCGCTCCAGGAGCCAACTAACTGTGTTCCCTGCCAGGCTGACCAAGCATGGCTACAGAAATTACTGCAGAGGTATCCCAGGGGCAGGCCCCCAGCCCTGGAGCAGACTCCCTTCTAGGGCTTGTTACACAGATGATGGGACAAATACTACTCGCTGTCTCCTTTGGCCGCCTGGCCTCGTTTGCGCTTCCTTTGCACCGGGTGAGGAGCTGTGAGGAAGGACATGATGCACTGTGGAGGTCAGGCGATGGCCCCCTGATTCTGCTGGGCTGCGGGCCGGGGCTAGAGGAGACCCAGGTGCGGTCAGTGAGGCTAATGCCGACAGCCCCTCCCTATAAAGACAAGGAGCCGGTAGAGGGGCTAAGTGCTGCCTTGCCGCGGGTGGCCGTGGAGGGGCCGGTGAAGAGTGGAGCAGTTGCTGATCCTCCGGGGGCTGCGGCCTTACGGAGTGAGAAGGTATGCGGGTCCCCGCGGCTTGAATAGCGGTCCCGTCGGGTCCCTGTCCGCAGGGTCAGGCGGCGGCAGGCTGGTAGCTGTACTGCTGGGGTACAGAACTCCGATCGGCCATGCTGGCTCCCGAGCCATGCCGGGAGGTGTAGTCTTTCCGTGTTTCCCGAGGCATGCCCGGACCAGTGATTTTCGCGGCCTCGGCCTCCGGGCAGCCACACCGGTCTCTGGCCTTAGCATCTCTGCAGCACCAAGCGTGGTTTTGCTGCGGGTTTCGTGGGGTTTCCCGCGGGTTTAAAGTTGCTCGCCGCCCACCCTCTGAACGGCAGCTCTGCAGCTCGCACGCCGAGCATACGCTTTCGTCCTTGCTCTCTGCTGCCACCTAGCGAGTGAAGCGCGGTACTGCAGGTGAGCGCCGCGGGGCTCCGCTTTGCCGCCCGCCGGTAACGGCAGTGCGACACTGCGGTGTCTAGGAGGAGGACGCCGCAAGGCTGGGTGCTGCCTCCCGGTAGGGAAACACCGCCCCAGACTCCCCGTATGCTCGCTGTCGGCAGGCGCCCGGCGGGCAAAGCGTGGGACTGCCGTGCTCATGCGGCTCCTGGGCACGCGTCCCGCGCCGTGTGCTGCCGCTTCGTGGCGAAGCGCGGTGCTGCAGCGCGGGCACCGTACCCGTGTTGGCGCAGCAAGGCCCCGTGCCCGGCCCTAGTCCCTGGGGAGAGAATCCAGATTGCTTAGTGCGTGTAAACGGCCGTGGCTGCAGCTGTGAGCTGGAGGAGCCCCGGAGTGGCCAGTGTGGCTGATGGTGATGGTCACGGTCACTGTGTGAGGGGCTGCAGCTCCGGGGGATGCTGCTGCTGGGGCACACCTGCCTTTGAGGGCTGATGAGTTGCATGTTTCTTTGCAGA